AGTGGCCTTGGCACACTGTCACAATCTAATTATCCTACATTCTTCCTGTACAGAGGATCCCTGTGATCAACTTAAATTCTCACACAGACACCTTTTGATGCTATGATTTTTAGAATATACATGTATTTAGAACTAAGATTTCATGAGAGATGAGGAGGTGGGGGGGAAGATATTCATTGGGGGCTATTTTCTTTCCCCTCAGATCACCTTACTGTTTGGAATTACATTTACTCCCATTAGGACAGCTGTAATAACTAGCAGAATAAAATTAGGTTACGTCCTGAAAGTCTCTGCGATAAACTGATTGTTTAGATCTTCCTAGACTAGCAGCTAGTTATAAATGAAATGGTAAAAAAAATTAAATTCCCCTTGAAACATGATATGCTTGAGTCAAAAACTGAACTGTTTTCAAATATTAAAAAAAAGTATATACGCATAGTCAATTATTTTGTTAACCCACATTTAAGAAATGTTTATGCTTTCCACCTTGTCCAGTGCCTTTCAACCCCTACTTTATTTGGAATTGGAAAAAAAGAATTTGTCCTATATTAGCCTGTGCAATCTGCTAATCACTTCTGGGACTTAGTAAAGCTAACAAAATGCAGTTGAGTTTTCATAGAAAGGAGGATCGTTAGGCAGTAATTATGACGTCATGAATGATGAGGGATCCCTTTCATGATCTCCATGTGACAATTGAAGAGGCCACATTCACCCTGCTTGCACACTTCATTCTGCTGTATGTACATTTTTATTTGTAGTTTATTTCGCTAGGTCTTCCTGTAGGAAACCTTGATTTAGCAATTAAGTCCTAGCTAACAAGTTCCATGAACACTCCTGGGCATTGGAAATAAGGAAGAGAATAATAGACCTGACTGGGTTTCAAAGTAATTAAGTAATGCTTTCTTTAAAAAAAATTAATATAGGATAATATACGGGCAATCAATCATTAGTTTCCTTTTTTAAGCAGGAGAAAAATTATTTGTGTGAGATTCAAGATCCCACAGGAGCAGTTGGGCTCCTAGCAATAAAATAGCTTGTTTTATTTGCGATGAGCAGAAAAATATTATTTTTATAAAATTTGATTTAATTACCAATGGATGCTTTAGAATATTGGCTCATGTGGGTAACGGGCTTGGCCTCACCCCCTCGCAGTTGACAGGGTTAGTAGAAGTACTGTGTTGTTAGTGAACAGCCCATAGTTACATTGAGAAGCAAGAGAAATATGTTTCGTAATTTGTGTAGCAGTCTCCATGTAGTTTATACTTTGTAGGATACCCGTGAAGGGTCACAGGCAAGAGCAATATGAGCGGAATCGAGTTGTCTTTCCAATGCATAGTCTCCATCCGGGATCTACCCTATTTATTCATTTCAAAATTGCCCAGTCACTTTCAATAAGCATTCATTACGGGCAAGAAGAATTCAGATACTCAAAGATGTCCCTGAATTATCTTTACCAGTGTGAATAAATAAGTCTGCTCACTTTGAAAAATCTTTTAAAAAAATCACTTGATTAAAATTTAAAAAAAAAAAATCACTTGACTAAAATTTTTGTGTGCATGATAGTGACCTATAATTTTGGAGAAAGAGTCACAGAAGTGGCAGTGGAAACGCACGGGCACAGCCTATGTGGGTTTGTATGGGCTGTGCGTCTGCGTGTACTTTGCCAGATACTTAGTGTATCATGCCCGCGGTGAAACCTCAAATAAGTCACGCATTCATCATCATTCGAAAAATTCCTTTCCACAAGATATTTTTCAGATGCTGCATTTTTCCTTCAAACCAGATCCATCCAATTATTAACGTAAGAATTCAGACTGTACAAATATAGTAGTACCCCTTACGTTTACTGTATAGTCTGCAGAAGTTGTTGAGCTGGGTTCAATTCCTGATGATTGTAAATCCTCACCAGTTTGCACTCATGAAGGGCATGTCCTTTATAAATTAACAAATTTAATGTACCAAATTGCTGCTGGGCAGTATGTTGCTTAAATAAACATCAAGGAGGTTGTAGGACCTGATTTCTTTCAGATCTGTGCATGTTGCATAGAATTATTTTCCATCACGCCTATCACAAAATGTAGTTTCCTAAATCTATAAATTCTACTATGGTGCACATGAAAATACTTGCTAAGTGGTTTTAATTTACAAGATTAACTTTTATTATCAGCGAGACTCCTTTTATAATGAAGACTCCTTTGGCGCAGAAATGCGTGTTCACTTCTGAGCTCGTTAATTTCCCCCAGGATTAATTGAGAAAATTTGTATTTGAAACTGTCATCACTGAAGATATTTTTAAGGTCTCCAGCATAAATATCTAATTTTAGGAAGGGAGGTTATTTTAAGTTCTGTGCAGGTGCATCTTGGTAGTAACCTCCTGTTCTGGTATTTTTATGTAACATTCAGTTAAGAAAGGAAATGCGATGGTCAGCCTTTCCTCTAATCCGAGCTCTTTTTCTGCCAGAGATAGAAAAGCTCTGATATCCACCCCCCCACCCTGGGAAGGTCACAGTGGACAACCACTTAGTTTATCAAAAATAAATTTGAAAAGAGTCCTGATTTCCGAGTTGGGACTGGGACCTTTGCCGAGCTCTTGTGCGCCCTGAGTTCCCCCTTCAGTCTGGTTGTGATGTCATTGGTGAGTCCTAGGGACAGAGGGAGGAAGCATCTGCCTGGTACCCTGTGGGCCCTTCACCTGGAAACATTAATCTTCCGCCAGGTGTTCTAGAAGAGGACAAACCCTGTGATTCTTTGGTAAAAGAATTTCTCTCGGATCAAATTTTCCCAAAGAAGAACAATTTTGTTTTCTCTAGCCCAAATCAAGAAAGCTGGCTGGAGCTGCTTTAGGGACAGATACCAACATATCACCAACTCAGAATATCTTCATGGGTGTCTGGTGCTGGAGAAAGTTTTAGGGTTGTCAG